CCCCAAAACCCCAAAACCCCAAAACCCCAAAACCCCGGTTGAAATAATGATTGATAATTAATTTATAGAATCAGGATTTCAATAAACTTTCATAATTAGATTAAATAAATACTTTCATTTTAAATCATAATTCATCAGGATCTCCCCCGTCTTTATCCATCACGCTAGCAACTTAGGAAGAGGGTTAGTCAAATTATACACTCGAGAGTAGTCCTCTCAAATTATCCAGCTCTGAAGCCATATTGGATCTCATTATAACTTCCTTATATTTTTCTAATGCGTTCTCCAGCTAAACAACCATTTATTTCAGATGAGACGTTTCTCTTGTTTCAACATTTATCTTTACCTAGTTCTTGATTTTCTTTACTCTCGTCGCGTAATCCATTGAGTTTTTGCTTTCACTTTCATTATATATGGAGGGCGACACATTTACAAACATAAGTGTTTTAGCTGTACCTCCCAATGAATCTTTCATAACTTTTGTCAAGGTAGAATCTCTATAAGGAATATGCTTTGAGCCCTTTGATAATGCTTCTATAACATTACCTAGAGCTGAGAGTGATTTATTAATTGCCTTAGCTTCCTCTTAACCATCTTTGTCTGTTCCAGTTTTCTTCGCACTTTCTGAACCAGCCAAATCTACGAATGACAATTTGCCAATTGTTCTAACTCTTGTTTATGTATTTCTGGAATCAATGATGATTGAATAGATTAAATGAGATCTACTACTGGCTTCATTCATCTTAGTGGCTCTTGTCATCCTATGATCCAATCCAAAATTGAAAATGCGATTAGCCTCTTCGATTGATCCCAAAGTTACTTCAGTAACTCCATTTATCACTACCATTCCAGTAGCTGAATCTTTAACTTCAAGAGGCTTTTTTTGGGCATTCTTAGGTAAAAGCAAATCTCTGATCTCATCTTTATAAAGCTCAACCATATAGCATCTTAGTTCAATCTGGAATAAACTCATCCCACTAACAATTCCAAATAACTCATCAATAGCTCTGGGTGTTAGACCAGGATGTGCTTAATTACCTTGAATAGTGAAAGTCTTGCCAGAACCAGTTTAACCATAAGCAAAAATACAAACATTAAATCCATCAATGGAACTCTAAACTAATCTCTTACTCTCTTCAAAGACCTATTCTTGATTAGAATTTGGTCCAAATACTGAATCAAAAGTGTAGCTTTTAGATTGATTTTTACCATGCACAACTAAGTTCATTTCATCTAGAATTTTTATCGCAACATCCTTGGATTCCTCTCTTTCAAGTTCAGATCTAGTAAGAGGTCTCACTCTACAGTAAAGTCTAATCTAACCTTTACTATCTTCCAACTCATTGTGCAATTGCTTCCTTCTTTTCTGTTCTTCCTTATATTTAACTTCCATATCCTCATTTATTCTTCTAGTTTCTTCTAGTTGTGAAATAAGTGTTTCTCTTTCTTCTTTTAGACTAGTTGCCTCGCCAGCAATTTTGCTAAGTTATTAGAATTATTGCTACATAATGATTTCAATTTTGCTAAGTTCCTCTATTTTAGCTGTAAGTTTGACTTCACTTTTAGATTTTTTCTCAAGTTCTATTTCAAGGTCTGTCAACTTGTCTTGCATTTTAATTCTGGATTTTTCAAGTTTTTCTAGCTAGACTCTGTAAGCGTTTATGGATTCCTCTCTTTTCCCAATCTCAGCTTAATGAGATTATATTAGATTTTGGATGTCTTTTTGATGTTAATCTTATAGTCCTTGGATACTAGATTAACCGTTTTATTGAAGTCTTAACTACTCTCTTTTCAAGGATTGTATTTCAAGTTCATGCTATTGGATTTACTCCTCATATCTTTATTTGATGAAATTTATTTCTTGGTCTTTATTTAGTGATAAGCTTTTTAAATTTTACTCTAGATTAGATTTCTCAGTTTTAAATTTCTGCACTTTCTCCTTTTTCTTTTAAATTCTATTCTGAAAAGCATCAGCTTAAGCCTAGAGCACAGACGCTTAGCTTGACTAAGCCTAACATGTACTTTTAAACAACTCTAGCTGAGATTGAAGCTCATGATAACTTTCAGTTAGCTTATGAATTTACTTTTCTTTTACTTCATTCAGGGCTTTAAGCTCATCTACCTATTTAGTGTCTATTTATATGATTATTTTAGGTTCAACTTCTTTATAAGGCTCAGGCTAAGGTATTACCTTTTCAGATGGTTTCTTTTCAATTTATTGTAACTAAGTTGGTTATATTTATTCGATCTTTGGACTCTTTTAAATTGTAGGTTCCCTTTCAATATACTTTTCAATGATTTATGGCTATTAATTTTGCACTTTTTTGAGTATTTCTATCTACTCCTGAAGTTTCTTATTCTCCTTCTTTATTCTTTTAAGTTCATTCACCATCTCTTTATTTGCTTCAGATGGTATTTATTGCTGTTATATTTGTTGAATTTACTGCTATTGTTAGTTTTAAACATTATACCCTTCGGGTATTTATTGAAATTATGGCTAAGTGAAATTGATTATTGGCTAAATATCTGGTATTTATTCTTGTTAATCTGATTTCTCTGAGACTATAGATTTCGATGAAAGTGACTTTACTGATTAATGAAGACTTGATTGTTTTGATTTATTCATTTCTTTCTTTGATACTATAGGCTAAGAGCTCTATAACTCAATTTGCTCTTTTAAAGTTATATTTTCATTTTGTAGTAAATTATTAATTTTTCTTGCCTTTTCTAAGTCCTTTATTATACCCTACTTTTACTCCTCTAGAAGATTTTCCTAATGGATAAGTTAATTGATTCTGTCATCTCTCTAATCAATTAGAGCTTTCTTTTGGTTAAGTTCATTTTATAAGCCTAAGAGTAGCTAATTTTCATTAACTCTCTCACCAATCAAAACTTCGAGTCTTGATATTTGACCAAGAAGCTCATTATTTCTTTGCTCCTTAACTTCAATTTATTATTTAAGGCTTAATAATTCAACTGTATTGTCTGGCTTTTATTCTACAGGTTCATCAAAGAAATTCTGCTTCTATTATTAGCTCATCTTTATAGCTTTTATTTCTTCATGTACTTCAGCTTTAGGGGACACTCTTTAATTCTCATGGCTCCTTTTTGATAATGCAGATTCTTATTAAATTTTTGGTGCTTCTTCTCTGATATAAATTTCTTCTCTGATAATTTCTTTTAGAATTGGTTTTGGCTTAAACTTATTCAAATCCTCCTCAAATTTTCCTACTCTCATTAATCTAAACTTACAGTCTGTGTAGGCTCTATTCATTGCTAAGTATTAATCTAGTTGGTCTTTGCATTATTCAAAATCTTTAAGTTCGGGAGCTCTCCCATTGTCTCTCTCAAATTACTGATACCAAAAGATCAGCATCTGCTTATGATCTGATCTCTTCTTTTAGATTGATATCATCTCATCTGGATCAACGTAGTTATCTTCCTCCTTTTCAACATACACTATTTTTTCGACTTCTCTTACTTCTGGTTCTTTATGTGATAGTACAGTGTACATCTCCTGAAGCTTATCAAGTTTACTCTCAAGATCATCTATTTAATCCTACTTTTATTCTATTAATATCATATTTTTGAGATTCTAATCTTAGAATAGCTCTGATTATTATTCACTCTCTAAAAGTTTAGCGCTCAGCTTTTAAAGATCAACTTGATGAAGGGCTTGTTCTTATTTTAACTTAGCGAGTAAATCCTCCTTTTCTTTGATCTAGGCGCGAACTTTGGCACGCTATTCTGTGATTATTTGTTGATAGTATTCATCTGATTCCTTCTCGTACAAGTCATACTTTTGCTTGAGTTGTAACGTGAATTGCTTATACTACTCTATCCTATTCTTGGCTTCTTGCTCGATCTAAAGCCTTTTACAAAGAATCAATTTACCCTTTTTATGATTTCAATAGCTTCTTATCTTGGCACATACACTTCTTATTTGAGTTGATAAGTTGGTGTATTTTGACCCAGTCTAAATAAGGAACCCTAATCATTATCAAGTGAATCTAAAAATATTTTACATTTTTGTCTATGATTTCTTCTCGCATAGCGCTAAATCCGTTTGAGGATCCATAATAGTTCTAAAGGCTATAAAGAAATGAGATAGGTACCATGTTTTAGCCATTTTTACCCATTGTTGGATTGGGCATCGGAGTTCTTAGTTGAGACATTAAGAAAATTTACTGTTTTATTATATTGAGATAAAGCTTAAATTTATATTTATTAATATCGCTTGAGTAAAAAATAAAATATAATCAAATTATTCTAACAATTCGTGATTTATCTCCGTCTTTACTCCCTCCTTTATTTGAGTTGTTGTATTCATTCGTGATTCTCTTTTTCTTAATTGCCCAATCCACTATCTTTGGTACTTCTACCCACCTAGCCTCCATAGACTTCGAGCATAGGACAACAACTATGTATTTATGATCATCTTTTTCATATCCTCCACAGAAACAAGGTCCAGCTGGGTTTGTGATACCAGTTTTGCAACCAATAAATCCATCAACTTATCCTAAAAGTTTGTTCGTATTTTCCCAGACATACTTTGTTTATTTTTTACCATTACTAGATGACATGGCTGAGGTCTTGTATTCAATTGTATTTACCACCTGTCTGAATTTTTCAATTTCCATGCATTTAGTGGCTAGCAAACATATGTCAGATGCTGTCGAATAATTATGCTTATTTGCTAGTCCATGTGGACTATCAAATTGACTTTAAAACATTCTTAGCTTAAATGCATTAAGATTCATTTCCTTTAGGAAATACCGTACAATGGACCATTAAAACTAAAAGCTTTATACAGACTAATCTTTATACTTATTGTCATTTAAATACTAACCAAAATATTCGGCCAAGCAATATGCTGCATCGTTTCCTGACGGAAGCATTAAACCATAGAACAGCTAATCAATACTTAGCTGATCACCTTCTCTTAAACAAGCAGATGTGCCATTTGTTCTTGATGCTGTTCTAGATACATTAACAATCGTTGTTGAAGGATCGATGCTAAATTTTTCCATAATCTTAAGGCAGGTGTAAAATGTCATCATTTTAGTGATTGATGCTACCTCCCTCTTATAATTTTCTTTTTTCCCATTTAAGAATTTTTTCTAATTTATATCATAAATAGACCAAGATTGAGCACTTATATAAGGAAGCGGTACATTTTACTGTATAGAATTTAATCGTCTTAATCTTTCAGATTAATTATTCTCTAATTTTGCTGTGGAGGGTTTTGTAATTTCAGAGTTTTATCTCTTAAGATCTTGCTGTTTTCCAAGTCTTGCTTGTGATCCATTATGAGAGAGATTTTTTTATTTTAAAAGGCTTCCATCGCTTGATTATTATTCGATAAAGGAATTGTTTACATCGCTAGTTGAAATATTAATATGCTTAGTTGGGATAACATTTTACCTAGTCTTTTGACTAGTTATATAATCATCCCTTATTGATTTCTTACTCTCGCATCTTCTTGGTTCAGCGCTATCCACTCTTCTGAAAAATTACAAACCAGCTCTAGCCAATTAGCTATGACTTGCTTTGGCAGATTGAAGATCTCTGACTGGTTTTTCGTAACTTTTGATAGATATAGCTATCAGATTTTTCATCTGACTTGGTCTCTCATCATATTATCTATTGCTTTAACTGCTACTCCTTATGTTGTTATTATTGCTGGTATTACTTTTGCCTGTGCTATTATATTAATCTTTAAAAGGTTTTGCTGATTGGATCCTTGTTTTACTTTATCTTCTCTCATCTATTCTTGCATCTTGATCTTCCTAAGTAAAACTTAAATTTTCTTTTTATTCTATGATACTACTTTAGTTCTAATCACTCAAACGCTTTGTTATGTGTTGGAGGTTTTTCATATAGTAATCCTCAAATTATTTGAGATTTAATCCAGATCTCTAACTTTACTAGGTAGGGACTCTCTTTGCAAGAGGTGGTCTTTGGCTATAAAGAATCTTGGGCTTTTAATCAGTGCGGATTGGTTAAACTTAATGTAATACTTATGAGTTATTGATAAAAGCAGAGCTATCCATTATGAAAGAATGAAGATTAAAATACAATTGATCGATAACTATTCGTATTTTGAAATAATTTAATGTTTATATTTAAATTTTAAATTCCAACATATAATAATCTCGATGGGGTTTTGGGGTTTTGGGG